GGGGGGTGAATTGGGTTTTGAATATTTTTCTAGAGTTTATATGATTCTTCGAAGATTAAAACTAAATATAGACAATTAATTGAACAAGGAACTTTTAACAAACACTTGGTGTACAGAAAATTATGTAAGTTAATGCAATAGCTCAACCACTTGATTTACACAGGATGGACCAATCTAATATGATAAAAAGAGTTCAATAAATTTATCACGATGAGTTAAGACAATCAATGTCAGCAATTAAATTTGAAGTGCGGAAATTAAAGAGATAGAGTTAGAGAGATGCAAACGAGATTTATAGTGGTTCGACAAATGAATTTGCCTACATCCACTGTCGCCGAGATATTCCGCCTTTCGACCTCTTTCACTATTCGATCGACTTTCCGGCACGATCACTCCTCTTACAAGAAGGCGAATCTTTCTACCCGAGGCTTCGCCTAACCTCTTACACAATGTCGATTTTTCACGGAGATCGATCAACCAAGTAACCCAATACCAAAGTAATGATTATGAGTAATGAAGCACTTAGTTTCACTCTCCTAACAAAGGTTTTACACAATTTGAAATCACTAGGAGATGATGAACTCACACTATCACAATATAACTCAAGTTAGGCTCAATTATGTGTGAGAGAGTTAAGGATTTAGAGAAGATGATGATTATGTAGACGCAATGGAGAACTCTCTTTTTGATTTTTGAAACTTTGAACTCGTTCTCTGTTTTTTGCAAAGATTACTGTTGAGAAAAAATGACTTTTCTCTATTTAAACTCTCTTGCCAACGGTCATATTTTTGCCCGTTTACCCAGTACCGGTCGACCGGAGCGGTTGACCGGTTGATACAAATTTGAATTTGTGCTGTTCAACATTCTTACGGAGTATCTGTTGAACAGAACCGGTCGACCGGAGCGGTTGACCGGTTGAGGCATCACCGGTCGACCGGTGCATTTAGCCTTCTCTGTCACCGGACGACGTAGGTCGACCGGTTGACACTTAATTTGCCTCAAATCTTCACACATTTGTACTTTTAGGCCAAATGTCATTATGCACTAAGTTTAGTCTCATTTTTAAAGAATAATGTGAGTGTGTGCATGAGCCTAAACAAGAATTAATCATGATAGTATGAAGTCAAAATCAAATACAAGACTAAGGAGATATTAAAAACCTATTAGTACTTGTCTAGCTTGATTTTGTTTGCTTGCTCTTGATCTTTGGTATTTTAGCACTTCAAGCCTTGAATTCCTTCTTCAATTTGCATTTGTCAATCTTGAATGTATTTGCATTGTATTCCGCAAAATGCTTCTTGAGTGGATTTATAACATTAATTACGCTAAATACACAACTCAAAATAGAATCATTAGAAACATAATACATTGTGTTTGTGATCATCAAAACATGAGAATATTCAACCTTGGGCCAACAGTTTTGTCCCGATCTCCCCACGGGTTTTACTTAGCAAGGTTTTTAACGAGACAGTCATTTACGTGTACTCCTATTACGTCAATTCAATAAAATAACATCTTTTGGGGCATTTGATATTTTTTTAATTAAATAAAAAAAAAACAAGGGCCAGGGCCGGCCCGTGAAGGGCCTGGACCGGGCCTGAGTTTTTCTTCTCAGGCCCGGCCCAGGCACGGTCCTGCACTGTGCAGGGCCGTGCCTGGCACGGCCCAGGCCCGGGATGGGCCTGGGGGCAAGCGTGCCGTGCCGGCCCGGCACGGCACGTTTGACAACACTAATGTCGCCGTAAATATTTATTTATTTGCGACGACAATTTTTGCCGCAAATAACTCAAAATGTTGTAGTATTCTCCTACGTTCAAATCCGCATTTATGACAACCGGTACTTTTTCCCCTAATCTCATTATTGGTTTTCCCTAGTGTCATTATCATAACTCATTTTATTGTTGAACTGTTTTTAGCATTTAGTATATGACTGATTGAATTTTAAATTTAGATTATATGACAAAACAATATTGATACGGCTACCAATGAGACTGAAAATTTGAAACACTCCAATATTAGAGAGTAAAAGGATTACCATCAAATTTGATCCCTTGTCATGCGAAGCACAAATAACACCCTTAATCACATATTACGAATGACTGGCAACCACGCTTGGACCAACAACATATCAAACATTCTCACCAACAAATGAATAAATAAATAAATAAATAAATAAAGGAAAAAAAAACACATTAAACATTTCGAAACTCCAAAATAGCAAATTGACGTGCTATATATATATAATGCCTCTTCATTGTGTTCATAATCTTTTCTATTATTAGAAAATTAGCCAAAAAAATGGAAAAGGAGCGAAAAACAATCTCAACTAAATTCTAACACATGTACTACATCAATTGATTTACCAAAGAAAAAAAAAAGAAGAGAGGACATGAGAGATCTCAGATTAGTGGGCAAAGAAAATGTCAAAAACAGTCAACAGTCAAACTCAAACAATATCTTCACATTTTCCTCATATCCCATATATGTATCTCCCACTTGAATTGACTAAACTACCCTCACCACAACACTATAATCACAAATACACCCTAATCGTCCATTTTTCTGGAACCCTACACTCTTCCCTCTTCCTTTTCTGCGGCCGACGGCTGCCTCCTCCATGGATCCCAAGGATAGCGGTATCCCCACACAGCGAGGGAGTCGGCAATGGGCTTAATGACCAAAATGCCCTCGCCGACGACTGCACACGTGAAGGCTGATAGGAAGACGGCGAGGGAGAAGCCGCCGAACGCTGGATCGTCTGGGCTCAACAGCACCAACGTGCCGAGCATGACGACCTGCATCGGCAACGACACGAGGACGGCGAAGGCCAGGCTGTGTATCCGAACCCTAAGTGCATTGTTGATCACCAGGGACTCGACCCTCCAAGCCGACAACAAGAATATGAGCGAGTACCCGACCGCAAAAGACCCGAACACCGCCGTGCTCAGCAGCGGATACGAGCAGAGCACCGTCGACGTGTCACCCGACACGACGGAGCTGCTCGAGCTCCAGAATTTGTACGGGAGCCCGAGGAGCTCGAGACTTGAGGAGGAGAAGAAGAGGACGAGGATCTGGAGGAGGAGGAGCGGCAAGCACGTGGCGAGAACGGTGGCGGCGACAGCAGAGAGGCCATTGATGTCCTTCTTAACAGAGACGTCGACAAGGAAGAGAATGGTGACGAGGAAGGCTGGTTCGAGGAAGCCGAGGGAGAGGGAGACGTGGAGCTTGCAGAGGAGGGCTTGGTGGTGGTGGTGGCGGAGATGAAGGCGGTGGCGGAGGACGGGGAGGCGAAGAAGCTCTGAGAGGGACCAGAGGGCGATGAAGAGGATTAGGAGGGATCGGACGGTCCAAAGGGAGTTGAAGCGGCGGAGGTGGCGGGAGGTGCGGGACTTGAAGCAGAGATGGATGATGAAGCTGAGGGAGAGAAGGGAGAGGAGGAGGATGCAGGCGATTAGCCACAAAACTGCGATGTCGAAGGTGGACACGACCGGAGCGCTAGCGGCAGGGGTGGCAACGTCCACGACGGTCATGGAATGTTGGTGTTGTGATCAAGAAGATATTGGCCGGGACACTCATGCATGGAATGATATGAGTACGTGGCATTAATATTAAGGCAGGTTAATTGAGAAATTGCAGGCATTTGGTGTAGGGAGAGAGATGAAGATCATGATCAATCTTCAAACAAGACTGATGATGATGATCATGATCATGAATATTTTCTTGTCTTGCCCTATTTTTCCAACCGGCGGGAAAACCGGCTGGTGTGGGCTATTAGAGAATGATTCTATATATATATTTTTTATCTGTTAATTAAAAGGTGTTCTTGATTGAGAATCAGGAGGAAGAGAGAAGTTGTGGTGAAATCTTGATGCCTGACTCCTTTTCTTTCGGGGGTTGTATATACTATGTATGTATGTATGTATATATTTATGTATGCATGCATGACAGAAATATAATTGGAAACTATATCCAAGGAATGTTATAGCATGTACCATGTAGCGCCTGATTTATGTTTTAGGCTAGTTATTTATATATATATATATATATATATATATA